CTGGTGCTCGGTCTCTAATGTTAAGGAAGTCTCAAGTTTTTGCTCGCCTGAGTTAGAATACCTCATTATAATCTGCAGACCATACTATTTACCAAGAGAGTTTTCATCTATATTTTTAATAGCTGTCTATTTACCACCACAAACCGATGCTGGCCTTAAGACCGTACTCAACAAGCTGTATAGGACCATAAGCAAACAAGAAAATTCACATTCAGAGATGGCGTTTCTCGTGGCTGGTGATTTTAATGTAGGGAAACTGAAATCTGTTTTACCTAATTTTTACCAGCATGTCACCTGTGCAACTCTAGATCACCTTTACTCCACACACAGAAACGCATACAAGGCCCTCCCTTGCCCTCCCTCTCGCAATTCAGACCATAACTCTATCCTCCTGCTTCCTGCTTACAAGCAAAAACTCAAACAGGAAGTACCAGTGACGTGCCCAATACAGAACTGGTCCGATGAAGTGGATCCTAAGCTACAGGACTGTTTCGCTAGCACAGACTGGAATATGTTCTGGGATTCATCCGATAACATTGAAGAGTTCACCAAATCAGTCACCGGCTTCATTAATAAGTGCATCAATGACGAAGTCCCCACAGTGACCGTACGTATGTACATAACCCAACCAGAAGCCATGTATTACAGGCAACATCCCCAGTGAGTTAAAGGCTAGAGCTGCCGCTTTCAAGGAGTGGGACACTAATCTGGACGCTTATAAGAAATCCAGCTACGACCTCCGACGAGCCATCAAACAGGCAATACAGTACTAAGATCGAATCCGACTACGCCGGCTCTGATGCGCGACAGATGGGGCAGGGCTTTCAAACTATCACTAACTGCCCAGTGACGCGAGCCTACCATACGAGCTAAATGCCTTCTATGCTCGCTTCGAGGCAGGCAAAACTGAACCATGCATGAGAGCACAAGCTGTTCCGGACGACTGTGTGATCTCGCTCTCCGTAGCCGATGTGAGTAAGACCATTAAAGAGGTTAACATTCACAAGAATACCAGGACACGTACTCTGCATTCACTGACCAATTGTCTTCACTGACAATTTCAACCTATCGCTGACCAGATCTGTAATACCAACTTGTTTGAAGCAGGCCACCATAGTCCCCATGCCCAAGAACACCAAGGTAATCTGCCTAAATGACTATCGCCCCGGAGCACTCACATCTATAGCCATGACATTTTTTGAAAAGCTGGTTATGGCTCACATCAACACTATCCCCTTAATTTGCATAACGCCCCAACAGATCCACAGATGTCGCAATCTCTATTGCACTCCACACTGCCCTCATCCACCTGGACAAAAAGGAATACCTATGTAAGAATGCTATTCATTGACTACAGCTCAGCATTCAACACCATAGTCTCCTCCAAGCTCAGGACCGTGAGACTGAACACTTCTCTCTGCAATTGGATCATGGACTTCCTGACGGCCGTCCCCAGATGGTGAGGGTAGGCAACAACACATCCTCCACACTGACCATCAACACAGGGGTCCCTCAGGGATGTGTGCTTAGTCCCCTCCTGTACTCCCTGTTCACCCACGATTGCGCGGCCATGCACGACTCCAACCCCATCATTAAGTTTGCCTTCGACATGACGGTGGTAGGATGAGGCAGCCTATAGGGAGGAGGTCAGAGACCTGGCAGTGTGGTGCCAGGACAACAACCTTTCCCTCAATGTTATCAAGACAAAAGAGCTGATCGTGGACTACAGGAAACGAAAGGGCGAGCACGCCCCCATCCACATCAATGGGGCTGTAGTTTAGAGGGTCGAGAGCATCAAGTTCCTCAGTGTCCACATCAGTGGAGGCTCCTGATGGCAGAATGGATCATAATAATGGCTGGAATTGAGTGAATGGAATGGTATCAAAAACATGGTTTTCATGGGTTTGATACCATTCCATTCCATCCATTCCAGACATTATTATGAGCCGTTTTCCCCTCAGCATCCTCCACTGGTCCATATCACCAGGAATTAACATGGTCACACACACCCACACAGTTGTGAAGAGGGCACAACAGCGCCTCTTCCCCCTCAGGAGGCTGAAAAGATTTGTCATGGTCCCTCAGATCCCAAAAAATTTCTACAGCTGCACCATTGAGAGCATCTTGACTGGCTGCATCACCAGTTGGTACGGCAACTGCAAGGCACCGGACCGCATGGGGCTACAGAGGGTGGTGAGTATGGCCTAGTACATCACTGGGGCTGAGCTCCCTGCCATCCAGGACCTCTATTGCAGATGGTGTCAGAGGAAGGCCCAGAAAATTGTCAGAGTCCAGCCACCCAAGCCATAGACTGTTTTCTCTGCTACCGCACGGCAAGCGGTTCCAAGTCTGGAACCAATAGGATCCTGAACAGCTTCCACCCCCAAGCCATAAGACTGCTAAATAGATAATCAAATGGCTATCTGGACTACCTGCATTGACCCTTTATTTGCACTAAATCTCTTGCACTGACACACACACTGGACTCTACCCACACAATCACACATACTTACACTAAAACCCCAACACACACCCATAACATGCGCACACATGCATACTGACGTCACACACACACGCTGCTGCTACTGTCTATTATCTATCCTGTTGCATAGTCACTTTACCCCTACCTATATGTACATTGCTACAGTACCTCAACTACCTCGTACCCCTGCACATCGACTCAGTACTGGTACTCCCTGTATATAGCCATGTTATTTTTACTCTTTATTGTTATTAGTTATTCACCTGTATTTATTCCTTGTGTCACTATTTATATTCTTTATCAAATGTTTTATCTTTAACTGCATTGTTGGAAAAGGACCCGCAAGTAAGCATTTCACTGTTAGTCTACACCTGTTGTTTACGATACATGTGACAAATAAAATGAGATTTTTGGTGTACTCGGCCATTCATCACTGTTCATCTTGGCGGATGCCTCACCCCCCCACCATAGATATTTAATGTCTGTGTCAGAAAGTTTCTCTCCCACAATTCATAGTAAATCTTTCATGAGTGTACAATGTAGGCCTCTGTATTTGTTACCATGGCTATACTGGCTGGTTATAATGTTACCCAGTCAATCAACTCAGTTGCCATTACAGCTAAGACTAATTTATAGACATACATTGTATGCTTACCTTATTGAAAAATATGTGTATTCTTCCCATTTTGAAATTCAAGAAAGGAATGCAACTGTTAATTTCTCTCTATGGTTTGACATTGAATATAAATGAAAAATAAACCTTTTGTGATGAAGATGAGAGATTATGTCTTTTAAAGTCCAACTGCTATTGGTTCCCTTAAATCTATGACAGCCCTGGTTAAACCTGTGGCTGCGCAGTAACTGAGGCACAGGGCTGATTTGACAGTGGCAGATGAACATTTATAAATAAACAATGCTCTTTCTCCCCCTGTTGGTTGAACTGATACAGTGCCGCTGGGAAGTAGCTTGTCTCTCTAACCCTGGAGCTGGGTCCTCACTGTCAAACTCAATAACTATCTCATTGAGAGCATATGAAACAATGGCTTCTGCAATAACATACAAGTGCTGTATGATTGAACTAGGTCATTTCAGACATGTGACTAAAAGCTGCAAGGTCCTTCTTCCTCTCTCAATTTCCTTTTCACTGTCTTCACCTAGTGGATTCATACTGTGCCTACAGTAAAGGCAGACAAATTGAAAGTACAGTACATGCTCTGTCTAAAGAAAGTGTGAGATTAGCAAAAAGACATTCAGAATTATTTCTCACATGTACTTTTATTGTAAAGGTGATTTATTCCAAAATATGGTGTAATATGGTGTAGAGGCAAAATAAGAAAGAGAGAGGACAGAAAAAATAAGAGCGAGAACATCTAAATATGAGTTTGGCAAGTCTTGGCTGACATTTTTATCAAAATACACAAGAAAAAGAACAAAATATCGAATGATGCACACAATCTCTGCCCTCTCAATGGGGCATCTCTATGTTTAAGCCTCTACATGTATTACAATGGAATAAAAAGTCACAACAGATTCTTGTCTTGAAAATAATAATCTATTTGAGGCATACAAAAACCTGGAATGATTGTTCACCTGTGCTTTGTTTTGGAATATAATTGTCAAATTAACGAACTAACCACAGGATACAATATTTGTTATCAATTACTTGGTTGGTATTTTCATTCAATAACGTTTCAATACACTCAACACTGATTTTCGACACTGAAGACACTGAAGTCTTACTGTGTATACAGAGCTACATGGTACAAACTGTATGGAGTATTGTGGTTCAACCAATGGGGTTATTATGCCCAAATCAACAGGGCCGTGTTCTATGGAGACCTGCCTTAATGATAAAGGAATGCTGTGACCCAGATAAAGAAATTTTGGGCAGGAAAAAATGCCGAAGGCAAATTCCTTGTGATGCCCTAGACTTGAGGCCTGGACTGATGCGGCTCTTTCTAAGTTTTGCAAGTGCCCTTTTAAACATGGTTATCATCATAATCTGGCCACAGTTTTAAGTCTAGGGCCACAACCAGTGAAGTGAAGTCTTCTGACTGAGAAATGTTAGACATGCAAGAGTGAAAGAGTGTCATCACTGCTAGCTAGTAAAGCCAATACAACGGTAGTATAAAGACAAAAATAACATTGTAAAAAAACGTGTTGTATTGTGTGTGATGTATTGTATAGTTGTGGTGTACTGTATAGTGTTGGTTACATAGTAATACATAGGCCTGCTGAGTGATGAGGCTACTATAAGACTAATGACTGACGCTGGTCTCGTCCTCAGCCCAGTGATCCACTAAATGCCTACAGTAATGGCATCTCTGGAGAATCTCTTATCTCCATCCAACACACAGGTGGACAGTCTCCACCACAATGACTGCCAACCTTGGCTAAATCAACACTGACTGAGTATGCTTCTCCTTCCTCCCCCCAACCCTAACAAAGAGTGCACCGTATAATATCACAGAGAAACACAGATAAACAGCAGCGCCCCCTAGCAGGGATGGACTTTACATGCGCGGATCTCCTTCCTGTCCTTGCAGCTGGTGACCTGTGCCGGGGTGTTCTTGGCTCTCTTCTTCACCGTCATGAAGCGCTCCTGGATCCCCCCGCCGCAGTGCTTGGTACAGTCTGTCCAACTGGACCAGGGCCTCATCTTGCAACCTGTGGGAACAAGTCAATGACACAAGAGAGGAGGGTTTCAGATTAATTTATTTAGTTTGCCAAATCCATCCCTTTTAGTAATATTCTAATTGAATATGACATATCAGTTAAAGATGCACTATGCAGAAATCACTCCGCCATTTCCTGGTTGCTAAAATTCTAATAGTTCGCCTAATTTCGGTTTATGTGAAAAAATTAGCAAATATAGTGTACAGCACGGTTTCCCAAAGTCGGTCCTGCCCCCCCCGAAAAAAAAAATGATAAAAAACGATTTAATGAAATTGTTTATTTAGCCATACTGCTATTAGCCCATACAAACGCACTGAATAACATGGAACAACAGATAGTCCCCCCCAAGTTTGATCTGAGGTGTCTGTCCTATATCTGAGAGATCAGCAAACATTTGAATTTAACCCCTTATTTTTCGCACTAAACAGTCTCCGTATATACTTCCATTCATATTTCCAACTGGTACCGGGGGACCTTCAGACGAGTCTTATGAGGGGTCAAATTAGTGTGTAGCCCAAATTGTTCGGATGCTACAGACAGAAGTTGGCAGATTATGTGAATTTTTTTATGATATAAATTAGATTTCTACGGGGGCGCGGACATAGAGTCTAGGGGGTTAAATCAAAAACATGAAGTGCCTGCGGCACTCCAGGACCAGGGTTGCCTACCCCCGGTGTACAGAATCATTGTACCATCTAAACCGCTGTGAAATATATTTTCCATAACCAAAAATATTGTATTTTCAGCTGTTTGAAGCTGGTGTAGAAAAAATAAAATATAGAACAGGAAGCATAGAAATAGCGCACATAGAACATATCTACTGCTTCTTAGATTTGCTTTCAATGAGAATGAATTATCTATAAACCCACATTTCTATATGAATTTGGTCAGGTCGCCCAAAAAGTTACATATTGCAGCAATAAAGGAGAAGTTCACTATATTTGAACCAAATATGTTTTTTGGATGTAAATGGCATGTTATAGAAGAGTCCAGAGTCCATTTCACTTGGTTTTGAGAAACTTACCCCAACCAGCAATACACTTCCTTATCCTCGCTCTGCAGAGCCAGAGCTTCGATAAAATGTGAACAAAAGCTCCAAAAACACCCAAATATGTCCTTTTAGAAACGGCAGCATTCTCAGTATAATGATGCAGGTCTTTAGATGTTGTACACATTCAATTGTGTAATTACGCACTTCATCCGCAACGTTATACTGTATTCCATCTTGTGCAACGCAAGCCATACTTTTCCGTGTGCACATGTGCAGGCCAGACAGATAAATATCACAGATGGATCGAGGAAACCGCTCGAGTCGCACAAAATGGAATATAATGTTGCGGATAAAGTCTAAAGACCTGCATCACTATACTGAGAGTGTTGCCGTTTCTAAAAAATGTGGGTGTTTTTGGAGCTTTTGTTCATATTTTATTGAAGCCCTGGCACTGCAGAACGAGCATCCCTAGAGGATATACCACAGTGGGGGTATTTGTCACTGTCTACAGCTCATTAGCCCCAGGTTAAAGAGGCCTGTCCCTGTTTCTGTGGGGAGGCAGCAGTCCAAAGCCCACCCTGACTACTCGGCCTCTACCTGCTTGGAGCATCAGGACAGCCATCTGTGAGCTGGACCAGTCTCTGTATCACCCTGACAGGGCTGATCAGCATTGAGTGTAGCCGTTCTAACACAGCCATCGCTCTGCGCCCGGCTGGCCAGGCAGAGAGGGAGGGAGGATGGGGCAGGGTTGATCCTCTCAGGCCTTTGGGGGGGTGGGGGGGGTGGGGGGGGGGGGGGGGGTGGGGGGGGGGGCTCATGGGGAGGTACAACCGATACCTCAGCGGAGGTACAATGGAGGTACAACCGATACCTCAGCGGGACTCATGGGGAATTAATGATGTGAGTGACTTGCCCTATAAATGTTTTGCCCTTTATATTTGGGATATAAAGGATACATCAAGGTGGTGTATAAATCATGAATCAAGCATGGCTTGACAATGACATTAATCGAAATGTGGAACATGGCTGAAAGTGGTCATGACAATGACACTAATAGTGGTGTTGAAGATGATGATGGTCTTGATGAAGATGATGATGATAACAAAGGTATATAAACTCAGCAACGTCCTCTCACTGTCAACTGCATTTATTTTCAGCAAACTTAACATGTGTAAATATTTGTATGAACATAACAAGATTCAACAACTGAGACAAAAACTGAACAAGTTCCACAGACATGTGACTAACAGAAATGGAATAATGTGTCCCTGAACAAAGGGGGGGTCAAAATCAAAAGTAAGTCAGTATCTGGTGTGGCCACCATTATGTACTGCAGTGCATCTCCTCCTCATAGACCACACCAGATTTGCCAGTTCTTGCTGTGAGATGTTACCCCACTCTTCCACCAAGGCACCTGCAAGTTCCCGGACATTTCTGGGGGGAATGGCCCTAGCCCTCACCCTCCGATCCAACAGGTCCCAGACGTGCTCAATGGGATTGAGATCCGGGCTCTTTGCTGTATGTAACAGTGTTGCTTCAGTCCCTCTCCTCCCCCCTACCTGGGCTTGAACCAGGGACCCTCTGCACACATCGACAACAGTCACCCTCAAAGCACCGTTACCCGTCGCTCCACAAAAGCCGCGGCCCTTGCAGAGCAAGGGAAACAACTACTTCAAGGTCTCAGAGCGAGTGATGTCACCGATTGAAATGCTACTAGCGCGCACCACTAACTAGCTAGCCATTTCACACCGGTTACACTCACCCCCCTTTTGACCTCCTCCTTTTCCGCAGCAACCAGTGATCCGGGTCAACAGCATCAATGTAACAGTGTTGCTTCCGTCCCTCTCCTCGCCCCTACCTGGGCTCGAACCAGGGACCCTCTGCACACATCGACAACAGTCACCCTCGAAGCACCGTTACCCGTCGCTCCACAAAAGCCGCGGCTCTTGCAGAACAAGGGAAACAACTACTTCAAGGTCTCAGAGCGGGTGACGTCACCGATTGAAACGCTACTAGTGCACACCGCTAACTAGCTAGCCATTTCACACCGGTTACATGGACATGGCAGAACACTGACATTCCTGTCTTGCAGGAAATCACGCACAGAACGAGCAGTATGGCTGGTGGCATTGTCATGCTGGAGGGTCATGTCAGGATGAGCCTGCAGGAAGGGTACCACATGAAGGAGGAGGATGTCTTCCCTGTAACGCGCAGCAATGCCTGCAATGACAACAAGCTCAGTCCGATGATGCTGTGACACACCGCCCCAGACCATGATGGACCCTCCACCTCCAAATTGATCACGCTCCAGAGTACAGGCCTCGGTGTAACGCTCATTCCTTTGACAATAAACGCAAATCCGACCATCACCCCTGGTAAGACAAAACTGCGACTCATCAGTGAAGAGCACTTTTTGCCAGTCCTGTCTGGTCCAGCGACGGTGGGTTTGTGCCCATAGGCAATGTTGTTGCCGGTGATGTCTGGTGAGGACCTGCCTTACAACAGGCCTACAAGCCCTCAGTCCAGCCTCTCTCAGCCTATTGCGGACAGTCTGAGCACTGATGGAGGGATTGTGCGTTCCTGGTGTAACTCGGGCAGTTGTTGTTGCCATCCTGTACCTGTCCTGCAGGTGTGATGTTCGGATGTACCGATCCTGTGCAGGTGTTGTTACACGTGGTCTGCCCTGCGAGGACGATCAGGTGTCCATCCTGTCTCCCAGTAGCGCTGTCTTAGGCATCTCACAGTACGGACATTGCAATTTATTGCCCTGGCCACATCTGCAGTCCTCATGCCTTCTTGCAGCCTGCCTAAGGCACGTTCACACAGATGAGCAGGGACCCTGGGCATCTTTCTTTTGGTGTTTTTCAGAGTCAGTAGAAAGACTGCTTTAGTGTCCTAAGTTTTCTTAACTGTGACCTTAATTGCCTACTGTCTGTAAGCTGTTAGTGTCTTAACGACCGTTCCACAGGTGCATGTTCATTAATTGTTTATGGTTAATTGAACAAGCATGGGAAACAGTGTTTAAACCCTTTACAATGAAGATCTGTGAAGTTATTTGGATTTTTACTAATTATCTTTGAAAGACAGGGTCCTGAAAAAGGGACGTTTCTTTTTTTGCTGAGTTTATATACAGTATATATAGCATAAAGGTGATGATGATGACTGACCTGGCTGTTCCTCCACTGCTGCGTCCCGTCCTTGCTGTTTGCCCCTTCTCTTCTCTTTCCCGCCGCCCACCTCTCCCCCGCGCCGTCTCTTCCTCTCCTCACTGGCCCTGGAGCCCCTTTTGCAATTCCTGATCTTACACTTCTTCCTCTGGACCGTCTCGGGGCAGGGCTCCCCTCCAAACTGGGGCTCCAGCTTCACCATGCGCGTCCTGATGGTGTGGCCTTTACCGCATGACTTATTACACTCTGACCACTCCGTCCACTCTGATACCATGCAGTCCGTAGCTGGGGAGAGATGGGAAAGGGTTGGGGGGGGGGGGGTGGGATATTGAAAGGTTGAGTGAAGAGTTACTTGCTAATGTTTTATTCATGTTCATCTACCGTGCTCATTGGACAACTACTTACTTACCTGACAATGATGAAAACACCTCAATTTCAGTGACATAAACTTAGCTGTGTTATATTTTTGCAAGTCAACACTTTCTAAAAGACACTGAGGGCTTACAGTGAGGGAAAAAAGTATTTGATCCAATGCTGATTTTGTACGTTTGCCCACTGACAAAGAAATGATCAGTCTATAATTTTAATGGTAGGTTTATTTGAACAGTGAGAGACAGAATAACAACAAAAAAATCCAGAAAAACGCATGTCAAAAATGTTATAAATTGATTTGCATTTGAATGAGGGAAATAAGTATTGGACCCCCTCTCAATCAGAAAGATTTCTGGCTCCCAGGTGTCTTTTATACAGGTAACGAGCTGAGATTAGGAGCACACTCTTAAAGGGAGTGCTCCTAATCTCAGTTTGTTACCTGTATAAAAGACACCTGTCCACAGAAGCAATCAATCAATCAGATTCCAAACTCTCCACCCTGGCCAAGACCAAAGAGCTCTCCAAGGATGTCAGGGACAAGATTGTAGACCTACACAAGGCTGGAATGGGCTACAAGACCATCGGCAAGCAGCTTGGTGAGAAGGTGACAACAATTGGTGCGATTATTTGCAAATGGAAGAAACACAAAATAACTGTCAATCTCCCTCGGCCTGGGGCTCCATGCAAGATCTCACCTTGTGGAGTTGCAATGATCATGAGAACGGTGAGGAATCAGCCCAGAGCTACACGGGAGGATCTTGTCAATGATCTCAAGGCAGCTGGGACCATAGTCACCAAGAAAACAATTGGTAACACACTACGCCGTGAAGGACTGAAATCCTGCAGCGCCCGCAAGGTCCCCCTGCTCAAGAAAGCACATATACAGGACCATCTGAAGTTTGCCAATGAACATCTGAATGATTCAGAGGAGAACTGGGTGAAAGTGTTGTGGTCAGATGAGACCAAAATCGAGCTCTTTGGCATCAACTCAACTCGCCGTGTTTGGAGGAGGAGGAATGCTGCCTATGACCCCAAGAACACCATCCCCACCGTCAAACATGGAGGTGGAAACATTATGCTTTGGGACAGGACAACTTCACCGCATAAAAGGGACGATGAACGGGGCCATGTACCGTCAAATCTTGGGTGAGAACCTCCTTCCCTCAGCCAGGGCATTGAAAACGGGTCGTGGATGGGTATTCCAGCATGACAATGACCCAAAACACACGGCCAAGGCAACAAAGGAGTGGCTCAAGAAGAAGCACAGTAAGGTCCTGTAGTGGCCTAGCCAGTCTCCAGACCTTAATCCCATAGAAAATCTGTGGAGGAAGCTGAAGGTTCGAGTTGCCAAACGTCAGCCTCGAAACCTTAATGACTTGGAGAAGATCTGCAAAGAGGAGTGGGACAAAATCCCTCCTGAGATGTGTCTAAACCTGGTGGCCAACTACAAGAAACATCTGACCTCTGTGATTGCCAACAAGGGTTTTGCCACCAAGTACTAAGTCATGTTTTGCAGAGGGGTCAAATACTTATTTCCCTCATTAAAATGCAATTCAATTTATAACAATTTTGACATGCGTTTTTCTGGAATTTTGTTGTTGTTATTCTGTCCCTCACTGTTCAAATAAATCTACCATTAAAATGATAGACTGATCATTTATTTGTCAGTGGGCAAACGTACAAAATCAGCAGGGGATCAAATACTTTTTTCCCTCACTGTATATTGTCCAGTGGGGGACTGGTATGGTTTTCATTTCAACCAGAGAAACACAAAGAAATGCAATGTTTATTGATAAGGAATAAATTGTCATATTTTCATATGTTATATCAGTCTGCCTGAAAAACAGAAAACTATTTCTCGTTTCAATCATTCTTTCCATAATCCATTTTCACATTTGACTGCATCATTCAGGGAATAATACGATTGTGTATTTTTGCGGAACATTTGTTATTACTTTGCAAGGAACCCGATTAGAATATCAATCATGGAGCTTTAAATGTCAAAGTACAAGGAGACAGAAGATGTCAAATCCTCTATGATGGAAATCTGCCTGGTGTCTGATTTCCACTATGTCTGTCTGTGAGCCTAAGTCTCAACACCTTTTGGCAACACACAGGCCATTGTTATGCGAAACAAACCATAGGAGTCAATTATACAACACAGAAAGATCTGGGACCAGGCTATGAGAGTGCTGAAAAAAGCATATGAATGTAAAGTTGGGCACTAGTTTCTAGTGGTCACACTTTGTATTGGTGTTGATGGTAGTGGTAAACAGTTTGGCAACATCTGATGGTGGCACTTACGACACTCAGGCTGCATACACCGCTCCACCTGTTCCAGATCCTCGGTACACTCCCCCAAGTCCGGAGACTTGAGCATGCGCTGGCTTGTACGCACTCCCTTCCCGCATGTCACACTGCAGTCGCTCCAGTCGGACCACGGAGACAGCATACATGGGATAGAGTCTGCGGGGATAGACCAAGCATGGGACTGTCAGTGTCACTCATTCTGCAGTCTGCACATAATACATAGTCATGTCCCCTGCTTTTCAGAACAACAGCTGTTCGGTAGTTTCAACATACAACATTCATTTCCTCCATCTTCAACTGCTGTGTTTCATACGTGGGACTTAAAATGATCTTATTGGGTGAATTGAGTGTACATAACATTAAGGACATCTTCCTAATATTGAGTCCCCCCCCCCCCCCCCCTACCTTTTGCCCTCAGAACAGCCTCAATTCGTCGGGACAAGGACTCTACAAGGTGTCTAAAGCGTTCCACAGGAATGCTGGCCTATGTTGACTCCAATGCTTCACTGGATGTCCTTTGGGTGGTGGACCATTCTTGAAACACACGGGAAACTTTTGAGCGTGAAAAAACAGCAGCGTTGCAGTTCTTGACACAAACCGGTGCGCCTGGCACCTACTACCATACCCCGTTTAAAGGCACTTAAAACTTTTGTCTTGCCCATTCACCCCCTGAATGGTACACATACACAATCTATGTCTCAATTGTCTCAAAGCTTAAACATCCTTTTTAACCGATCTCCTCCCCTTCATCTACACTGATTGAAGTGGTTTTAACAAGTGACATCAATAAGGGATCATGCTGTAGCTTTCACCTGGAATCACCTGGTCAGTGTATGTCATGGAAAGAGCAGGTGTCCTTAATGTTTTGTACACTCAGTGTAGTCTCATGCATTCTCTCCTATGAGATATTCTGTCAATTTCAGTGTGTACCTAACCTGTTGGATCTAGATAGGTAAAGACTAGAGATGCCCCTTGGCAGATGGCTGAACAAGGCTGCCTGTCACAGTGCTTTTAGATGGAGTGTCTCTGGCCTGCAGCCCGGGACCTGGGGGATGAGGCAGGTGTTGAGTGGGTGTGGGGGGCATTACTCACGGCACTCGGGCATCATGCATTTCTCCACCTCTGCCACCTCCACCTTGCACATGGAACCGTCCGAGGGGGGCATCTTCACCATGCGTTCACGCCGCTTCATGCCCAGCCCACAGGTGGTGCTGCAGGGATCCCACTCACCCCACTCTGTCACCACACAGCTACTGGGGGCTAATGGAAGGGACAGGGACAGATAAACGCTCATACACTGGGATGGTTCTTTGTTATGACAGCTTGTGATTACTGTTATTAACATTACTTGAGAAACCATGTTTCATTAACACATTGCTGGCATATAGCAGCTTTTCTCTAGAAATGTTTGTGGTCATGCGCACATCCTTAAAAGAAATGTAGGTGCTGGGCTAAGGAAGTATACTTCAAAAGAACAGAAAGGCCCGCACACTGAATATGCTCCCAATTACCTCCTTTATTTACAATGTTTCGATCTTTGTCAGGTCAAACGGAGTGCTCACATTCAAAAATCTTTACACATTTCACCTCACATTACCATTACGCACATGACACATGGTGGGTGTGGAAACCATTCTAAACATGGCTATACAAAAAGGCACTAATCATCCATCACATTATGGATCAGGTACATACAAATAGGGCCGAGTTAAAACCTAGGCAACAGTAAAAAAGATTACTTTGGAAACTGTTAGAATACTGGCCCATAAGACCATTATGCGCAGGTATATCCATTGCGCACAGGTAGTAGCTTTTCAACATAGGATTACTTTGACTATACATCATCACGCCATCATATTATAGACTAAACATAATATTGTAGTCTTTAAAGCTAGAATCCGCAGTTGAAACAATAACAAAGAAACACCCCGCCTCTGTTTTGGTTAAAAGCTGAGGGATGGGCCTGGAGAAATGTAACCATTCTCAAGTTTATAGACAGACCTATCGATGCAAGGACTGACCATCCATGATATAAAAACTATAGCTTTAACCGTGTTTTGAGGCTATACAGTGTTTGTTTACATTTACGTTGTTTACAAACATTGGAGTAAAACAAGCTTATATTTTGGGTTCTGATGAGGTATGACAGTTGAACTAAGCTCATGAGGGAAATAAGTTATATTCTATAAGAATCAATGGGTATACAGTATATCATGAATTATAAGTCCAAAAATGGTTGTAGCAACTAAAGATTCTAGCTTTAACACAAAAGGCCTGAACCCACAACATTATCCTGATGTCACAAAGACTCAGAGCAACTAGTATCACCATGTTTCAGTGAGACTCACAGCAGTCATCGTTGACCACACATTTCTCAGTCTCCTCAGTGTTCAGAGAGCAGATGGATCCATCCTCCGGGAACTGTTTGATGTAGCGCTCCCGAGACCTCATGCCCATCCCACAGGACACACTGCACGGAGACCAGCTGATCCACTCTGACATCATACAGGTAGACGCTTCTGGGAATGACGAGGCAAAGGCAAAGCCTGGTTAAACCACACTGGAGGCTGTGATCACCATTGTGTAATGGTTAGTGCAGGGTTCAGTCTGGTTTAACCAGGCTAGAGAAAACGAGCAGGGTCATTAACATTCCATACATGCAACAGCTCTGTCCATTTATTCCATCACTACTGGTTGACACCTCTGAATTCCACCTCCCTTCACCTTCTTCTGGTAACAAGTAACACACCCTCAAATAATTTATTCAGTCCTGCCTAATCTTACTCCGCTCTCTCCAATTATCTGGGAACCGAGCATGTAAGTAGATTTGTTTTCATAGAGGATGGATAAACTTTGGGGAACTTTCCATTCATTTCTCTCTTGTCTGGTCCATCCTACTGCCTGCCTGCAGATTGGAAGCAGCTGTGAGCGTAGCTTAGTAAAACAGAACTAAGTGAATCATTAATAAGAGCTGTAAATAAATGTGGCCCTGATGAGGCCCCCAGGGGCCCCGTCCAGCTTCAGGAATATCAATCAACTATGGACATTAACGGAGCGATACATGAAAGCAAAGGAGTGACCTGCAGGAAGAAAAGCATGCGATGCCAGTCCTATTACTCGATAGTGTGTGGTGGGGAGAAACAATAGCCTTGAACAATTCAAACCCACTCATCAAGCCCCGACACAGCTGAGATTTGGGGCCCGAGATGAGATAAAGGGAGGAATGAGAGAGGGAAAGATAGTAGGAGTGAAGGCGAAAGAGAAAGCGACAAACACCTCTGCATGACTGATCATGTACCTTTTAGCATAGTGATCTAAATGTACAACTTTGATGAGAATTGGAGAAAGGAGCAGTTAGTTCCTGAGAGACAAAGTTAATGCCAATCTGACTGAATAGAACTGGAAGAAGAAGAAGCGTTTGTGGAATATCATGTATTTTGATCTCTACCTGGTTGTGGGACTTGATGAGACTCCAAAGTCCCAGCTTTGCATGTTGTATTTGAATGCCAATGACAAAACTGTGTTAATTGTGCATCTCAGGTAACATGTAAACCGGGAAAGGGAAAACAATGGCAATACAGTATCTTCTTGTGCTTGGCTAGAAAATTGGAGGAGGAGCGTGATACCATTTCAACCCTAATCCCTGTTCTCATACACAGGCCTGCTCCCATCTTAGTTCAGGAATCGTCTGTTTGCACATAATGGATATGTTGACTGTCTTTTGTCAATATGACATGTACACGATTACACAGGGATCACCAGCTCAGCCTGCAGAGCAGCAGATGAACACACAAACCTTTAGCCAACAACCTCTTCTTTATGACTTGCTTTGTTTAAAACAATAAAATATAATTCACTATGTATTTTCTCCATTTTTGGAAGCTATTGGAGATGGAACAACATGTTCCGAATTAGACAAAACTGTTAGATTTCAATTCTCACACAAAATCATAGACGTTCCACCCAATATAGTCTAAAAAGCCAGCCATTTACCAGGCAGGCAAACAACTATATTCATGTCTAAGCTGAGGCGACTGTCAGCTGACTCATACCAGTGATTGAACTGTGCTATTCAAGTGCATGCATTAGTGCTATGAATGAGAAATAGGCCTGTGACACTGTCCTTAGTCCTCACCCTCCTCGCTGCAGCCAGGCCCCATGCAGGGCTTGAAGTCCTGGGTGTGAGGGCAGGGCACACTGAGGTCCAGCTGGGCCTTCAGCATTCTCTGTCTCATCCTCCGGCCCTTGTCACAGGTGGCAGAGCTGCAGGCTGACCATGGTGACCAGTTGGAGTAGATACATGTCTCTGGAGTGTCGTCTGGAGGAAGAAATACTCTATGACACAATGCATTGACAAGTCATCACTGGTTTAGAATGTGCTGGTGCTGTATAGGTATGGACTAATGCCTAATTGCCTATAAAAGTAAATGCAAGTTCATACAGTTCAGGTCTTGCTCTAACCACAGTGTATAGTTACTGTACAGTACCCACAGTACGTGTATTGTAATGTACTAGAGACCGTCCTGTTTAGGAAACAGACAGTGTTGCCCTCAACAGAAAGAGGGTAGAGAGAACCCGGTTCAAAGGTAGTATTGGAAGGTAATTGCAGGGTGTGGTTAGAAACATAAACCCCACAGGTTCATTTCTCCTGCTTGACCGTGTTGATGGTGTTCAACAGACAGACATCTGGAGGTTTAAACAGGGATCCAGGCAAAGCAAGTCCAGCAGCTAGAGTGTGTGGCTTTTAAAAATTTGAACATCCCAAATTGGTTGAGATAAAGTGCTTCCACACCTTCCTCCTTCTCCTCCTGGCCAATATCTGCCACGATATCGTCCACGGTGTCCGGGACAATATTGCACTGCTCTCCCTGTGGGCAAGAAACATGATTCCACATCACAAACACTGATAAGATTCTCAATTTACCATTTAAAATAACATTCTCATCGGAGACAAGGGTAAACACCCAAATATGTGTAATTTATTTTCTGGGTAATCTTCTGTAGGTCAGGTCAATATGACATCTGGTTGTTGCTTTAAAAAATATAGATTTTTTATAATTCTTTGCTTCAATTGTCAGGAGACAAACACATTGTAAATTTTCTCTGTGTTTTCCAAAGACTTGCTATGATCACTATGGCAATATATGCTGAGTGTACAAAACATTAGGAACACTTTCCTAATATTGAGTTGCACCCCCTTTTGCCATCAGAACAGCCTCAGATCATCGGGGCATTGACTCTACAAGGTGTCGAATGCGTTCCACAGGGATGCTGGCCCATATTGACACCAATGCTTCACACAGTTGTGTCAAGTTGGCTGGATGTCCTTTGGGTGGTGAACCATACTACCATACCCCGTTCAAAGGCACTTAAATATTTTGTCTTCACCCTCTGAATGGCACACACACAATTCATGTCTCAATTGTCTCGAGGCTTGAAAATCCTTCTTTAACCTGTCTCCTCCCCTTCATCTACACTGATTGAAGTGGATTTAACAAGTGACATCAACAAGGGATCATAGCTTTCATCTGTATTCACCTGGTCAGTCTATGTCATGGAAAGAACATGTTCCTAATGTTTTGTACACTCAGTGTACTGCCCATTCAAAGAGCTATGTATCCAAAGCAACATTACATGCATAGTGACTGTGAGGAGAGTTATGTTGCATGAACATTCACATCTCTTCAGAGAGAGGGAGCAGACACAGACAGAGATAGCGGAATGAATGAGCCAGGTGCTGTAGGTACCTTTCTGGCTATCCTTTCCACCACCACCCGGGCCAAGGCTGTGATAGGGCCTCCCTCAGTGTCGTAGAAGGGACTCTGGGGGTGGTCCAGGCTGGTCAGGGGCCGGATCCTCTCCTGGGGTATCGTGGGCTTGTTGGGAGACTGGAATGGTATGGTACAGGGTGGACTATGAGTGACACAATATGGACATTGGGCTAGGCATAAGTGTAACACAGGGTAATATAGGTCCACGGAAGAGAATTAGTGTAACAGTACTAATAGTAATTCTAACAGGAGTTAGTATAGGTGCAGAGTTGGTATTAAAGGCCCAGTGCAGTCAAAAATATGATTTTCCTGTGTTTTATATACAATACCAGTCAATAGTTTGGACACACCTACTCATTCAAGGGTTTTTCTTTATTTTTACTATTTTCTACATTTTAGAATAATAGTGAAGACTTCATGTAGTAACCAAAAAAGTGTTAAACAAACCAAAATATATTTTATATTTAAGATTCTTCAAATAGCCACCCTTTGCCTTTATTTTTTATTTTTTTGTCATTTAGCAGACGCTCTTATCCAGAGCGACTTACAGGAGCAATTAGGGTTAAGTGCCTTGCTTAAGGGCACATCGACAGATTTTTCACCTAGTCGGCTCGGGAATTAGAACCAGCGACCTTTCGGTTATTGGCACACCGCTCTTAACCACTAAGCTACCTGCCGCCCATGACAGCTTTGTACACTCTTGGCATTCTCTCAACCAGCTTCACCTGGAATGCTTTTCCAACAGTCTTGCAGGAGTTCCCACATATGCTGAGCACTTGTTGGCTGCTTTTCCTTCACTCTGCCGTCCGACTCATCCCAAACCATCTCAATTGGGTTGAATAAAAAGTATCTCTCTTTTGTATACTAGCTGTGCACGCCTAAGATGAAAATGTGGAATCAATAGTAAACTTTGCGATAAAAGCACCAGATTTAGCACAGAGGTAGAGATGTACAGTATGTACCCTGAAAAAAATAATATATGGAACCCAGATTTGGCCTCTGGCGTGGCAGCCATGATAACAAAAAAAATTACTCAAAAATGTAAATACATATTTAGGTTCCAGTCAATGTCTCTACACCAAGTCGAGAGTCTCATCTGTCAGATGCAATTTGAACTAGAGCTAAAAGTCTGATGGCCTAAATCGGCCTTATCTGTGGCCATTTTAGGTCATACGGGTATGTTAGATTAGCTCAATCGCCAAATTCTCAGCCTCTGAGTATTACAGAAACACAACATGTTGAATAACAGACAAATGTTCATAACAAGTGGCTATGGATGAAATTGATCAAAATATATTTTACAAAACATACAAAAACATACAAAACTGTATTTTGAAACATAAAATTTGTCTATAAATATGTGAACATTAAAAAATATATTGGGGAATTTAAACAATTGACTTGTGTTACAAAAGGTTTGGCAGAAAGTGTATTTTTGCGATCAGATCCAAAAATGACCCCTGTTGGTGCTTTTAGGGGTCAAAATACTGTACTTTTAGGGTTAAGATGCACTAACTGTAAGTCATTCTGGATAAGAGTGTCTGCTAAATGACTAAAATGTAATGTAATATGTAGTATGGGCACAGGGAGGGGAGCTAGTGAAAGTGTGGGCACAGGGCTGAGAGCGAGCACCTCGTCATGTTCAGCTGCCATCTGTTAGGGGCTTCTGTGTTTGATCTCAATATGCATAATTGATCGGCTGTGTAATATTCCTTTTATGAGTGATTTATGACATTGTTTCCTGCTAGGTGCATTGTGAATCACCTTTCATGCTGCTGTTCCAAAACAATAACTTCAGGAAAGAGAAAACTACAAAAGCCATTGAGTCCCTTTCTACTTTAACTCTAGGGAATCTAGTTTTAGTTAACTTTTGGCTGATATATTCATTGGTACTGCCGCCAATATATGGAGCCAAAAGTGAAATAACTAAATCACATATGGGGTATATGAATGCATGATTCATCTGCTTTCTTTGCATAGAAAGTATAAAGGCTATTTACAGAGTGTGGACTTGTGTATGATTACGCTGTGTGTGTGGGTCTGCATTGAAATCTGGATATACTGTATCTTCAGTGTCTTTTCTGGCCTATAGAGGGCAGTGTCTTTCCTTTTCTTTTCCCAGTATCTTTTGAAACCAGCAGAAAATGAACTATAAGTCCCAGCGCAGGATTTGTTGGGTACATATTTACAGTGTAGCGACACAAGACTCGTCAGTGAGGCAGCCACTTGGGTAAATATGTCCGCCTCAATAAAACGACAACACAGTGGATGTGCTGTTTTATGTTTGCAGTGGGGTTTTTTGCTGAATTTGTTTATGTGTTTTTCCACCGAGGTTGGGTAATTTGTATATTCATAAGCCATAAACAAAAATATTAAAAAGCAATGCTCCTGCACTATTAATGAAAGTAGATCAACAGCTTTCATTCCAGATTCATGGCAAAATACAGAGGCCTGGCTACGAAAGTTAGAATGGCAGAAGTATTTTACTAGATAACTGAAACCAGAGCCATTTACTACATATTGACCCCCATGTCTGGGGCCCCAGGGCCTCACCTCATAGGTGACCCCGTTGTCGGTGCCTGCGTCCCAGGGGATGAGGTCTTGGTCTAGGCTCTGGACCCAGCCACACTCCTTGGTGCAGAGGTCCTCTGCAGACAGCCCCACGTTCCAGTCAGGGCTGGGCCCCAGCATGCTCAGAAAGGACATGAGGTGACGTGTACGGTCCACTGAGAACTCAGCCGAGGGAGCTGCCCGCCTGGATAGACAAATAGATATACAGACATGCACAGCATGCTCCCCAATGTGCAGATTGATCTGATTGATCAACACACAATGATATAGTGTACAGTAGCTCCATGAGACTGCCAGCTCCATTAGTGGCCAGCGCCATAAGTACAGTATAGGATGAACATGTATGCATTAGTATTGATAGAGAAGGTTGGCAATATTGGCAATGTTAAAGACTGGTGAAGGCTAATACAATATACAACTGTGGTTTTCATTTTAATGCATCACATACCACACCAATTATCTGCTTTAAGTGTTTAAATGAGCTAAGTACTGTATATTTAAAAACTTTAGTTGGATAAATATTCAGAATTACCACTCACACTCAAGTCCAAACAAAGAAGTATAACACATTTCTGTCATACCAGATCAACATTTACTGGTTCTATTTAGAACTCAGAGAGAATAATGTTGTATCACTAGAACACATTAAAGAAGTGTTAATGAAATAGATGTTACGTTGGAGATGTTAAGGCTGGTGAATGTGCGTGGAGGCTAATAAAATCTACTGAATCTGTCCCAAATGGCCCCCTATTCCCTATATAGCCCTATAGGCTCTGGTCAAAAGTAGTGCACTTTATAGGGAATAGGGTGCCATTTGGGACTATCTATTTGTTAGTTGCCACAACACAAATACTAAGAGGAGAATAACATCCAGTAACATCTGAATAGTTACTGAAGTGTGAAGAGATAATTAAAAATGACAAGGATAAATTATACAAGTAAGTGATAAACAACAAAATTCTGTACATTTCTATAATATATCACAATGTGGGAGTGTGATACTGCTCAATTAGATACAACTCATCTAATTCAAGCAGTTCCTGTGAGATGATTAAACAAGTATGGAAACAACAACCTACACTTTGCTGTGCCTTATTTAGAGAACTTCCACATTCCACATGCACATCAATCGTTTTAAACAATCTCCTTCCTTTAGAGACATCTATGTTGTTCCAATCTCCCTTTACATAAAAAATGTAGATGTCTCCTCCAAACAGCCTCTTCTGAAGAGAAAAAATAGCCTGGCTTAATTGGTAGGCTGATGTATTGGAACTGTAGGGAGGTCATTAACCCTAATCACAGAAACACATCTCTCATCAAAACAGGAGTCTTCCTTTTGCAAACAAAATACCTCATGAAAAATGTACACAATCGTTAATGAATTTAAAGAAAACACCCGCAGGCCAGGCAGGTAGCTATTGAATTAATGCTGGGTGATTATCTCCTCCTTAGCCTGTTTTCTGAGGAAGCTAAAAAATTATGAGAAATTCTGTTTTCATCTGAATTCTCAATTAATGGTTATCAAATGATAATCTCTACAAGTAGTTTCACATGTTTTAGACAGACAATGAACATTTTAAAACAGAATTGAGTGAGGGTACTCTTGTACATCACTGTGTACTCACACATTCAAGGGTTGCCATGCTGGCCACTGCGCCTTGGTTTTGATAACAGTCAGAACTTCATCACCCTGTGGATGACAAACACAGAAAGAGAGAGAGAGAGAGATACATTATTTTGGTAAAATTAGTGAAAACTGCATGGAGAATACAGAAATATACTCAACAGTGTTCATTCCTCTCTTATGAAATCCAAAACACTTTCCAAAGTTGGGAGCTGTGAAAGTGGGCGTCTTGTGACCAGATGTGCCTGTTATTTTATAATGGCTGTTTTTTCCACAAGAGGATCCCTCTTGTGAATCACACACAGTAGTTCAGCTGAGCTGGCCATTCTGGGAGAGCAGGGTGTTAACATAGCAGCAGCTGAAAAATTAAAGGCCCAGTTGCAAACAGACCCTTTTGATGTATAACTAAGTAGGGATTGTTGCTGCGCTGTGAGACAGTTTGGTGTCTGACATCAAACAAAGGAAAAACAGGGTGGTAGAGATCTGTGGTGTTACATGTAGCCTGTTATTACGTTATCACACACACTGCAACACTCAGCCTCTTTTTGGGACGCGCCCCGCATGCTTGCAAAAAAAATACTTTTTTTTATGGTTGACTGATGGTTCCGCAATACCCTGAAAGCCTCCTTCTCTTTGTGGATTTCTATAGAAAACAAGTCATTTTGAGAAAATAGATATTGACATGGCTACAGTTGGCTAGCCAAGACAACATTTATTTTTTATTTTTTACTAGGCAAGTCAGTTAAGAACAAATTCTTATTTACAATGACGAATGCTAGGTGTATTTTTGTAGCTTTCTTTTAGCAAACTATCAACAGTAGTCAGCATATTGCTTTTATGTTCACTATTGAAGGTTTACTTTTGTAAATCACTTTCCCTAAAATAAATAAGCTCAGCGAGTAGATTGATGGGAACACCACAGGCTATCGTTTGTCACACACACTACACAGATTTGTATGCTTCAATCTTGTTTTAATAAGTAAAAACCGTGTTGATGAGCCAATCCAGTTCAACAGTGATTGAATGGAATGGTAGCCGAGCGAGGGCTTCGGAGCTAGGGGACGTGTGGCATGGCAGCAGCGGACGGATCGATACTGAGTTTCCTGAAGTCCCACACAGAGATAGAATTAATGTCGGAGGACCGGACGAGGAAGATGACTGATGGCGAGAAGAAGCGAGACAGAAAAAAAGGTGCGAGGTGCAAACCCAAACCGGCTGCGAAATACAAGGACAAATATCATACCTCCAAGACATACTAGCCTCTCACCATTACAATAACAGGGGGGGGGGTATGATATTGTAACCGATCCGCCCGCTGCTGCCATGCCACACGTCCCCTAGCTCCGAAGCCCTCGCTTGGCTACCGTTCCGTTCAATCACTGTTGAACTGGATTGGCTCATCAACACGGTTTTTTACTTATTAAAACAAGATTGAATCTTACAAATCTGCGTAGGGTGTGTGACAAACGATAGCCTGTGGTGTTCCCATCAATCTACTTGCTGAGCTTATTTATTTTAGGGAAAGTGATTTACAAAAGTAAACCTTCAATAGTGAACATAAAAGCAATATGCTTACTACTGTTGATAGTTTGCTAAAAGAAAGCTACAAAAAGACACCTAGCATTCTTACATTATTCATGATTCATTCAGGATTATCCATAATCATGGGAGCATACACATTAATGTAGAAATGTTTAAAATATATATATGATCATTATTTAGAATAAAAGTGACTCCAAAATGACACAATACATTATTTACCAATCATTTCTATTGGGCACAAAATAATCTGAAACACAACCAAAACGAACAGCACACGCATCCAACAAGTTTGTAGAGTCACAAGCTTGATAATAATAAATAATAATATGCCACTTAGCAGACGCTTTTATCCAAAGCGACTTACAGTCATGCGTGCATACATTCTTGTGTATGGGTGGTCCCGGGGATCGAACCCACTACCCTGGCATTACAAGCACCGTGCTCTACCAGCTGAGCTACAGAGGACCAATGCTTCACCGTAGGGATTGTGCCAGGTTTCCTCCAGATGTGATGCTTGGCATTCAGGCCAAATAGTTAAATCTTGGTTTCATCAGACCAGAGAATGTTGTTTCTCATGGTCTGAGAGTCTTTAGGTGCCTTTTGGCAAACTCCAAGCAGGCTGTCATGTGCCATTTACTGAGGAGTGGCATCCATCTGGCCACTCTACCATAAAGGCCTGATTGGTGGAGTGCTGCAGAAATGGTTGTCCTCCTGGAAGGTTCTCCCATCTCTACAGAGGAACTCTGGAGCTCTGTCAGAGTGACTATCGGGTTCTTGGTCACTTCCCTGACCAAGGCCCTTCTCCCCTGATTGCTAGGTTTGGCCGGGCGGCCATGTCTAGGAAGAGTCTTGGTGGTTCCAAACTTCTTCCTTTTAAGAATGATGGAGGCCACTGTGATCTTGGGGACCTTCAATGCTGCATAAATGTTTTGGTACCCTTTCCCAGATCTGTGCCTCGACACAATCCTGTCTCTGAGCTCTACGGACAATTCCTTCGACCTTATGGCTTGGTTTTTGCTCTGACATGCACTGTCAACTGTGGGACCTTTATATAGACAGGTGTGGCTTTCCAAATCATGTCCAATCTATTGAATTTACCACAGGTGGACTCCAATCAAGTTGTAGAAACATCTCAAGGATGATCAATGGAAACAGGATGCACCTGAGCTCAATTTCGAGTCTCATAGCAAAGGGTCTGAATACTACTGTTTTTTTTTTTTTATGTACAAACATTTCTAAAAACCTGTTTTCGCTTTGTCATTATAGGGTATCATGTGTAGATTGCTGTGGATAATTTTTTTAATCCATTTTAGAATAAGGCTGTAAGGTAAGAACATTTAGAAAAAGTCAAGGGGTCTGAATAAATTCCAAAGGCATTGTAGATAGATCAAACATGACTGTCAGATAGATTGGAATAGCATAGGAGATTGTGTGTAGTCTATTAATTATATTTCTATCTTCAACATGCAGTTCCAGATACAGCCCTGCCATTAGTTGAAGGCAGCCAATCCAATAGTTTCTGAAAAGTAGTCACTTCCTGAGATCTGTATTCAAATAGTTTAAAAAAGTAGTTACTTGCTGAGATCTGCATTCAAATAGTTAAAAAAGTAATTTATTGGCATCTGTATTCAAATTGTTGTAGTCACCTACAAAGTAGCCATTTCCCCCCGAAACAATAGTTACTTTCCACAAAGCATAGTTATAACTATAGTTATCCCAGGTCTGTTGCTCTCACATCTCCATATATCACGGCTTCAAAATGCCAGAGCTCTGCGACACATACAGAGTTATCCTATAACTTGTTTCAGCAAACACCACCATTACTTTTTACTCACTATTGCTGAATGCGAGCTCAATGACACACAGCGTGCCACCATTTGTAGAGGAAGCTAAACAGTGGCTAGGTTTTTTAAACATACTTTCTTTTGTAGTAAGTAGCCTACCTAAGGTTTCTCTGATAAATAGCACTCTGACAAAGAATATGTCTTAGGCTTTGTCTTCACTCTTACCTCCAAAGAATCAAGGCACTCTTATCTTTTCCCTTTACAAAGTTTTTGTATTTTAATTATTTGTCATGTTGACCCTAGGCTGACCCCATGTGATGCACTGTCCAGCCTCCTGAGTCCCCTAAATGGCCCTGTCTGTTTGTCTGTCTCCAGCTACAGAGAAGTCTGGGCCATAGCATAGCTCAGTAATTGATTTGATTTCAGTGAGGTGTCAGTCAGGCCAATCACTCCCGGAAGCTGAGAGGAACTGAGAGGCAGGGCCATGAGTCTGATGCCAGAGCACAATCAAAACCCAGTGACTTTGCCAAGGGATCTGTTGCACGGCAGCGGGAGAAATATTGTCAAATCGTAATAATGTTGAATGAGCTGGGAGCCTCTGGGAGAGTCTGTGTAATAAAGAATAAACTCTGTCATATTGGAGTTTAAAAGCTGGGTGACTGTCTGGAGAATGAGACTGGGCTCTGGGAGATGATGGTGTGGTCTTCTGTTGTGCTGCAACCGTGCAGTTCGGAGGGTGTATTATACAATAATTCCAGGAAACATTACCCAGATAACCTTGTAGCGGACCTTTTTAATCACTTAGTTCAAACAGTGCAGGATGAAGTACACTATATACTGTGCATGGTGCAGACAACAAAGCACATTATTGGATATCAATATATGTATACAGTAGGCCTACTACTTTAAATATAGCATATTAACTCCTGTTATATAATGTACTGCACAGTGTCTTCAGAAAGTATTCACACCCCTTGACTTTTTCCACAGTTTGTTGTGTTACAGCCAACACGATTAAATTGAGGTTTTGTGTCACTGGCCTACATACACACAATACCCCATAATGTCAAAGTGGAATTATGTTTTTCGGAATTTTAACAAATTAATTAAAAATGAAAAGCTGAAATGTCTTGAGTCAGTAGTTATTCAACCCCTTTGTTATAGCAAGCCTAAATAAGTTCAGGAGTTAAAATGTGACCCGTTCCAGGAAGCTAGGCGTATGTCGCACGTCACTACTTCACAGGAGAGGCATTTGAACGCACATTTTAAATTTTTATCAAAATGCGTTTTTGGGGCAAAATGCCTTCTGGAACATGGGAAATGTCACGTGCCTTACTAGCAAACTTGTATGCCATCTGTAAATATTAATAAAATGTTGGTTTAGCCACGGAAAAAGGCAGGAACCTTCCCACTAGCCATGATTGTCTGAGAAAATGTATGGGCTGGACATGCCGAGAGAGGAGTTCGGATTGGTCTGCCACGTAGAATGCTTCTGTCTATAGCATGATCTGCTCAGTATGTGTAGATAATCCCTGCTACCGTGGATTTAAAAAAAGATATCATGGAGAACTGCAAAAGTGTTGCTACTGCTCTCAACATTGCTGCCCTGAATTTAACAGGCGCTATCGATGAAGATCAGTGGGAAAAGGTTGTGATGGACTACTTTCTGGAGGATGATCGTGCCATGCTGACTCTCTCGACTCTGAAAATGAATCAGACGATGAGGAAATCCCTGTTGTAGTTAAAAACATTTTAATTGAACCAGATATTGTAGAGTCTTCTGATGACAGTGATGGGAAATAAATGGTGATCAACAGTGTTGTTGTCACGGAAGAAGTTGACAGAGTTTTGAAATCAGTGGAATGCCCAATGGAAGCAGAGTGTGATTGCAAATGCGGAAGGAGTCAAAAAGACAACACAGAAGGCTGTTGGATAAAATAGCTGTCTCCGGAATACATCTTCAAACTAAGGGCAACCATGGCATCCATGACAGAGAGAGGAGAAGCGTTCATCCATGTATACGGGTAAGAGTCTAGCTACATTTTCAAATATTATATGTTTCTAATTTTGCAAGTTAAAGCGTACTGTTAGCTAGCTAGCTAATATTAGCTGGCTGGCTGGCTCAATAGCTAATGTTAAGTGTAGTAATATTATTCGTATCTCAGAAATCCATTTGCATTGCTAGTTATAGCCTAATGTTAGCTAGCTAGCTAACACTGAACCTACACTACATTACC